CCTGGCCTCCACAGCCTTCTGTGGCAGTGAATTCCATAGATTCACCCATTCTTTGGCTGAAGAAGTTTCTCCTTATCTCCACTCTAAAATGTCTTCCCTTTACTCTAAGGCTGTGCCCTCAGCTCCTAGTCTCTCCTACCAATGGAAACATATTCCCAACATCCACTCTATCCAGGCCATTCAGTATTCTGTAAGTTTCAATTAGATCCCCCTTCATCCTTCTAAACTCCATTGAGTATAGACCCAGAGTCCTCAAACATTTCGCATATATTAAGCTTTTCATTCCAGGGACCATTCTTGTGAACTTTCTCTGAACCCACCCCAGGGCCAGTACATCTTTACTGATATATGGAGCCCAAAACAGTGCACAATACTCCAAATGTGGCCTGACCAGAGCCTTATTAGAGCTTCAGAAGTATATCCTTGCTTTTATATCCAAGTTCTCTCAAAATAAATGCCAAAGTTGCATTTGCCTTCCTGACTACTGAGTCAACCTGCAAGTTTACCTTGCGAGAATCCTGGACTAGAACTCCCAAGTCTCTTTGCACTTCAGACTTCTGAATTTTCTCCCCATTTAGAAAATAGTCCATGCTTTTATTATTCTGACGAAAGTACAAGGACGAACTGCAGATGAGCAGCCAGATATTAACAGCAAGATTGGGACCTGCTTTTGGCCCCAACTTCTGAAAATGGTTAAAGGCAGTGAAATTCCTTCTTAGAAACCTCAGTGATTTCAATGCAATGCAAAGGTATAAAGGTCTCAGCCTTCGTCATTGTGAATTGTTCTATTCACAATAGCAATTGCCCGTATTTCACATTGAATTGTAAGTAAGTAAGCAAGAGTGACAAAACAAATATTCTGTCTGAACTTTATTGAGATTAGCCAAGCTGTTTTCAACTGGGACTAACATCTGAGAAAGCAAACAAATACATAGCCTTTAACTCCATCTGTCAGTCATATTTTATTGCTCCAAAACGCACTAAGACGTGAATTAAATTTGGAAATAAACAGTATATATTGTATATCAAGTATATATTATAAGGTACTCATCCCTCAGACTCATTCCTAATAACTGCAGGTTGTTGTGCTATTAACTTCAGTATGTGAACCGTAACTTTATTGCATTTATAAGTTTGCAGTTGTGGCTTCAGCCAATTATGAAAGCAACTGTGAAACAAGTTAGAACATTTTTTACAAACTTGGCACAATTAAAACACTGTCCAACAAAATACTTGAAATATTTGAAATTTCAATTAAGTCTTTATCTCCTCTGCTCCATTTTCTATTTGAATGCATAAGAACAGGAGTCAGCCATTCAGCCCCTCAAGCCTGTCATGCATCGAATAAGATATTGATCTGTACTTCAACTCCATTTATACTCCTTTGTTCCCTATCCCTTAATACTTTTACTTAACAAAAATCTGAAGGCCCGAAACGTCAGCCTCTCTGCTCCTATGATGCTGCTTGGCCTGCTGTGTTCATCCAGCCCTGTACCTTGTTGTCTCGGATTCTCCAGCATCTGCAGTTCCTACTATCTCTGAAAAATCTATCAATCTCAGTTTTGAAATAAATAAAATAATCTTTCCTCAGCAGCTTTTTGAGAAAGATTGCTGGAATCATTTACATGAAGATTTATTCTCTGCAGTGCTGAACAACCCGACTCTAACTTTGAGTTTATGACCTGTTGTTCATAGAATCATACAGTACAGAACAGATCCTTTGGCCCATCGAGTCTATACTGCCAAAAACATACTCATACCTACACTAGTTCTACTTTCTGCACTAGGCCCGTAGCGTTGAATGTTATGACATTTCAAGTACTTTTTAAAGGTTGTGAGGTTACTCACCTCAACTACTTTCCCAGGCAGTGCATTCCAGATCCCTAACAAAATCAGGGTGAAAATGGTTTTCCTCAAGTCTCCTCTAAACCTCCTGCCTTTCAATTTAAAATTATGCTCCCTTGATACTGATCCTTCATCTAAGGGGGACAGCTGCTCTCTATCCACCCTGTTCATGCCCCACATAATCTTATACACCTCTGTAAGGTACCCCGCCCAACCTTCCCTGATCCAAAGAAAACAACCTGAGCTTATCCAGCTTCTCTTCATAGCTGAGATGCTCCATTCTGGACAACATCCTGGCAAATACTGTTTGCAACCCTCCAGTACAATTACATCCTTCCTATAGTGTGGAAACCAGAACTCCACACAGTTCTCGAGTTGTGGCCTCACCAAAGTTCTATATAGCTCTAACATGACCTCTGCTCTTATAATCTATGCCATGACTGACAAAAGCAAGCATCCTGTATACATTCTTAACTACCCTATTAACTAGTCCCATCACCTTCAGTGATCTGTGGACAAGCACCCCAGAACCTTCTGTTCCTCTGGGCTTCCTAATATCTTACCATTTATTGAGTACTCCCTTGTTTTGTTTCTTCTTCCAAGTACATTACCTCACATTTATCAGGGTTAAAGTCCATCTACCACTGATCTGTTCATCTGACCAATTTGTTTATTTCCTCCTGTAACTGAATTTCTTCAGCGAGAGCATAGTGAATCTGTGGAACTCTTTGTCACAGAGGCTGTGGAGGCTAAGGCATAGAGTGTCTTCATCATAGATAGGTAGGTTATTAATTAGTAAAGGGATCAAGGATTTATGCAGAAAAGGCAGATGAATGAAATTGAAAAACATATCAGCAATGATCAAATGGCCTAATTTTGGTCCAAAATCCTATGGCCTTTTTGTATCCTAACACCCTCATCCTCACTGTCAACCATCCAGCTAATCTTTGTATGATCCGCAAACTTACTTGTCTTCCCTCCCACATTCTCATCCATATCATTTATAAATATCACAACAATGGAACCAGCACTGATCCCTGTGGAACTCCGTTGCAGGCTGAACTCTCTTCACACAAGCTTCTAGCAGCACCCTCTGTCACTAAACCAAATTTGGATCTAACTTGCCAAGTTACCCTGGATTCAATGAGCTTTTATTTTCTTTATCAGTTTCTCATTTAGGACCTTATCAAGTGCCTTGCTGAAATCTATATGAACTACAGCAACTGCCCTACCCTCATTGGTCACCTTGTCGAAAAATCCACCAGATTGCTTTGGCATGACCTTTCGAACAAAGTCATGCTGACTATCCCTGATCAAATCTTGCTTCTCTAAGTGGAGAATAATTTTCTCCTGCTCAATTTACTCCAATAGTTTCCCTACACTGATGTTAAGAACATAGAATAGTACAGCACAGTACAGGCCCTTCGGACCACGATGTTGTGCCGATCTATTATCCTACTCTAAGATCAAACTAACTGCATACCCTATATTTTACTATCATCCATGTGCCTATCCAAGAGTCACTTAAATGTCCCTAATGTATCTGACTCTACTACCACCAGTGGCTGTGCATTCCACGCACCCACCACTCTCTATGTAAAGAATCTACTCTGACATCTCCCCTGTACCTTCCTCCAATCAACTTAAAATTATGCCCACTCGTGATAATCATTTCCAGCCTGGGAAAAAGTCTCTGGCTATCCACTCTATCTATGCCTCTCATCATCTAGTACACCTCTATCAAGTCACCTCTCATCCTTCTTCGCTCCAATGAGAAAAGCCCTAGCTCCCTCAACCTTTCCTCATAAGACCTGCCCTCCAGTCCAGGTAGCATCCTGGTAAATCTCCTCTGCACCCTCTCTAAAGCTTCCACATCCTTCCTATAATGAGACGACCAGAACTGAACACAATATTTTAAGTGCAGTCTAACCAGGGTTTTATAGAGCTGCAGCAAACCTCGCGGCTCTTAAACTCAATCCTCCTGTTAGATTTATTACTTTTATAGTTCCCTGTGTATATCTACTACCCTTCTTGTAAAGTGGAACTTCCTGATTGTTAATAACTATCCCATGAGAAGAAATAATTTCTCTCAACCTGACCTATTGAGTTCTGTAGTCACCTTAAATATCTTAATTAGATAGAGCTTACTGCTCTATAATTAAGGGAATACAAGCTGTTGGTTTATGCAACCCTATTCATCTTATAACCATTTTAGCTGTGGTACCATTCTGATGAAACTGAACTGCATACTTTCCAAAGCCAATGTCTACTTCTGGAGGTGGAATTCCCAGAATCGAACGCCATACTCCAGAAGCAGTATAACCAGAGCTCCATATGATTGTTACATGGTTTCCTCCACTTTATGTTCCAGAAATCTGCATGCTGAATAGCCATATATATTTTTGATAGTAAATCATATAGTTCCAAAAATATGCATGCAAAGAGCAGCTATGGTTGAGTTAACTGCCCTGTTATTCATTCGAAAAATTCTCTTAACTGTGCTTATTTTTGGATTAATCAATGTTTCCTGATACATTACAGAGGGTCTTGAATTATTGGAGGTCCTATTCATAGTTACCTCCTTCCACATAGATCCTGTTATTGTATGTAATGACTTCCTTTCTATTGCCTTTCCTGATTTTCTTACCATGGCATCCCACCATTCTCATATGCGTAGCAGCATCTTTCTAGGTCAGACTTTAAAATGTTAGAAGCTATGATCGGCTCCAACCATTTTAGACCCTTGTCCATAAATCTCCTAATGCGGATTTAATTATATATCTATGATATTCTAGAAGAAACTTCATAAATTTGATAGGTTTTTGCGACATAGAAATTATTTCAGCATCACAGAATTCTTTGAAACCTCTAAAAAGGGCAATGCAGGAGGTTGAAATTTCATTAACCTTCTAAAGCTTAGACTATATTCCTAGATACTGAATGAATCCACTGCTCATCATGAGTTATTTGAAGTAAATTACATTTCTTGTAGACTCTAATCGTGAATTTAGATATAATCCACATTGTTATCAATAATATTCTTCCAGATTATAAAATTTAAGAAGGACAATTTATAACATAAATAACAACTTGTTAAAAATTGTCAAGAATCAAATTACTGATCTTACAAAGCTTTCAATAGATTACTGTACTACCTTAAGAATATTCTTTGGTATTTGTACTGGTTTCCTTGCACCTAATGGGAAGAAGTCCTGGAAAGCATGAGTTGTGGACGAGACTGGAAGATGCTCTTGAACGTATTGCGAAGTATAGTGGTGTTGACATGCATTATCCCAACTTTCTTGCTGCTGCAGTTGCTCTCGCATCAGTTGTAACCGAAATCCAGTCCGTGTCTGCATTTTGACTTTGTCCTGTTTACAGAAGCCTTTCAGCTGGAATAAAAATGGAGAAGAATTTTAACTACAAACGTTTTTTTTTCAGTAAAGGTTCATTATCGTGCATCTTGACAGTAATTAATATGAGGTTCAATTAATTCAACAAGGCTGCATTCCAAGGATTGACAATTTAATCAACGTGAGGTGAACATAAATATAATATTATTTTGAAGTAAAATTACTAATATGTTTGCAGTAAAAAACATGGAAATCAGATTTCATTCAATTGTTAGCAATCATTAATCAATCGGTTATGTCTCATTTATCAAAGGAGTTTCTTAATGCTATCCTAATAGTCTTCTACTCATCAGTTCAGTATATGCTCCAACCCTTGGAAAACACAGTGCAAAACAATGCAGTGGTGACCCATGATGCCCACTTTGCATTTCTCAGGTATTTTTGAGGTTCACTATGAAGGGTGTGAGGTGTTTGTTAAAACCATCACCAAGTGATGAGCAGGAACCTAATGATGCTTCTCATCTCATAATTTTCTGTTAATTAAAGGTGAGAAACCAATATCTTTCCAATAAATACTGAGCTTTAAGCTTGCAGTCAGTCACTGTTTGGTCAGATGATCTGAGCACAGCTAAGCATCAAGAAGATGAAGCGGGGAAAGGAAAAATCATTTTTTCAGATCCTAGAGGGCACCTTCAGACATGATAGCTCTTCAGGTTCTGTTAATAGACAACAGTTGTTGGGGCGAGTGGGAGGATAGCTACAGTAGTTTGTCTTTACTGTTGCCATGTTCTTTCAACTGCTGACATTCTTCCCACAATCGCAGGCACTTGTCCTAGTTCAGGAGATGAACTGCACTGGGAGAACATACAATACAATTGTATTAAGTTGAATTGCATGGGACATACCCACAAATAAGGGGAGCTTTAAGATAGCCAAGGAGACCTCTGCACAAATAGTCTTACCTAAAAACATCCCCTTTAAGACAAAAATGACCTGAGAGATCAGTTCCTATTGGAAGTTGATTTTTCAGTTCCTAATCACCCCCTGACTCTTGATTGGAGCTTTGTCATGGTGCTGGGAGACAAAAGCAACACTTTGACCCTTTTCAGGCCAGCATTGTCTTGGTGAATGGGGCTGTTGTCTGAAATGATGACAAACTTAGTTTTCTTCCATTGACATGTTCCATCCACTTTCCTGATCCATCACTCAAAAACACTGGCCATCATCTGTGTGGTTTTGTTAGCCTCGCCCTGAGTGGGAACTTGACATTCACAAAACAACATCATTTCTTGGATTTTATTATCACAAGAAGAGGACATCCATGTTGGTGCAGATTATAACAGCGTCATGTCCCTTGCTTCACATTCCACCTTTATACATTTAAACATCAAAATGATTGGATAAAAGATGGTAAATAGGTTGGTTTCATGTGCATTAAAAAATGTCTCTTGGTGCATAATTGTTCAGGACCTGGGCAAGGCTAGTTTGCAGCAAAATATCTATCATTGTTGCCATAATGTCCGAACCTCAGTGTTTATCATGTGTAAGGTGATAACATGGTTTCTTCTGAATCAATCCAGTCATCCATAGCTGCAAGTAATATACTCAGAAAAGGGATAGAAGGCTTGGTGACCTGTTGCAATGAGAACAACCTCTTTCTCAACATCGGCAAAACTAAAGAACTGATCATTGACTTCAGAAAGAAAGGAGGAGAAAACGCCCCCATCTACATCAACAGTGCTGAGGTTGAGAAGGTGAAGACCGTCAAGTTCCTAGGAGTAATGATAATGAACAACCCATCCTGGACTTCCCACGTAGATGCGACAATCAAGAAGGCACAACAATGCCTCTTCTTCCTCAGGTGGCTCAGGGAAACTTGGCATGTCCATAAGGTCCTCAACAGCTTCTACAGATGCACCATTGAAAGAATACTGTCTGGGTGTATATTGGCCTGGTATGGCAACTGCTCTTCCCAGGACCGTAAGAAACAACAGAAGGTGGCATGCACAGCTCAGACCATCACGGAAACCAACCTTTCATCATGGACTCCATTTACACAGCCTTTTGCTGCGGAAAGGCTCCCAACATCATCAAAAACCTATCACACCCCAGCAATGCTCTCCTACAACCCCCTTCCATCAGGCAGAAGGTACAGAAGCTTGAGCACATGCACCAGCAGGTTCAAGAATGGCTTCTTCCCTGCCGTGATTAGACTGATGAATGGACTCGCTAACTTCAAATAATGCTGATCTTGCTAACATTGATCTTGCCTAGCGCATGCCCTGTGCAATATAACTTGTATGCCTCTGTCTAGGTTTTTTTTCACCCTATGATCTGCCTGTACTACTCATAAAAAAAGCTTTTCACTGTACTTAGGTACACATGACAATAAATCAATCAATCAGTCAATCAATCAATTGTGGCAAAATACAAAATCTATGGTGCCAGTTGAATGTTGCCTCCTCCGATAAGTGTATTTTTCATTTTGGAGTGATTATCTGTGGAGGCAAAATGGCTGCGGCACATGTGTAGACACAGCTCATGATGTCAGCTGGCCATGAGAGGTGGCAGGAGAGCATGGACACCGATGAAGCAGAGCTTCCCCTCCCTGGCGGTGTCTGCAGACTAGGTCTTTTCAGCTGCCACTCCTTCACAGCACTCCTCTCAACACCTTGCCATTCAGCCCTCTTTGGTTGAGGTGCTATGCCAGGGAAGGGTCCTTCCTAAAACCAGCAGGTAATATCCAAAGACTAGGGCCACTGCTGTGAGTAACTCTTTCCCCAACACCCCTAAATCTCCCCATCCGCACCAGCTTTTCTCCCTCAAAACCTCGTCCATATTCCAGGATATTTATAGACAGCCACTGGAACTGTGCCTCTGCCCAGGATTCACTGCTTCATCGCTTCATCCACTTTCATTGGCCTCACCACCTGACCCCCATGTCTCTCTCTCAGATTGGAAATGAAATACAATTCAGGCCACTGAGTCAAGAATGACACAGAACTCCAGTAGACCTTTGGCAATGCCAACTTCGAGGTTGGCTGCTGTTTTCCATTCCTTGAGAATGATGCCAGGTTCCTCTTCACACATGTATGTTCTTTGTGGGGAGCCTTTTGTAACTTTTACAGGGTTTTAATTTCGCTGTTTCACCTTGAAAGTATTCTCAATTTATTGGATCTCCAAGCACAAGCAAAATGTTTTGTTGATTGAAAAAATGCTCTCAAAGATCTCTGACTGACCATCTCCTCATTGTATTTGTTGGCTGTTCAGATTGAAAGAAATTGAGCACATTGTCCTGTATCGTTTTTCACCCAGCATGAACCCTCAGTGTACCCACTGCTGTAGCTTCCAAACATTAAATTGGTAGACACAGCCTGAAAACAACTCTGTCATAGTCGGTGACTCAAGGCTTTCAGGCCTATGCTTGGATGCAAACACATTGTATAGCCATGTGGCGAAAGGCTACCCTCTGCTGTTAAACTGATTGCACAGGAAATTTGCATCATTCCTGAAGAACTCTGAAAAACTGTGTCACATGCTGGTGACCTTCTCTGCTCATTAAAACATTCCCAAAGATAGCTCTCTGCATGAGACTATGTAGCTTCAACAAGCATGAACTAATTTCTAGTCTGATTTTGATCATGCAGTAGTGAAAAAAAACTACACAGTATTTTTATTTAGAGACAGAGGAATCTTTCAGCTGCTCAGCATGTCCAAATACCCTTTTAAACTCCACACATCCATAGATTTGCTCTTTTCAACACTAATTATTTCTTTCTTACGCTCTGTGCAAACTTAATTGGCAGATCTTCACTATTTAACAAATTCAATTCTCCCCAATACAATGATTACAGCAGACTTCCTCATGTAGCTGTAGGTAATGAAATTTATATAAGAAAATAATCTGATATGAGGTATACATAGCGCTTGAATTAAAAAGAATCAATTTCCTGGGCTTGCTTCTACCAAATTTAAAGGCCATAATACTCTCCTGCTTCTGTGTAATTGGAATAACATTTGGATAAAAAAATGAATGTCTCTGACAAAGATTTCCTCTCATCCAAGGAATTTGGCTTTGTTTAAAATCAAAAGAAAGTAGCTGAATTTACCTTTGTGAAAAGTAATGCTGTCTCAACTGTTCCTTGTGCAAGGTTAATGAATTGCAAATGTCACCTAGTTTTCATGTAACCTTTCAGATCTCAGAAAAGACAATCTAATATTTATAGAACCACGAAGCTGATTTTTCAGTTTTATTTTCAATCAGGATTGGGGGCACACAAAGAGAAATGGGGAGGCGGAACTTACCAGCTTGTTTCCACTGTCATCTAGTTGCTGACATTTTGATTGGATTAGACAGTCAAAATTCTCACTTGAAGCTACAAGTAGTATGTAAGTTAGTGTCCTATCACATCACCAGGGCATTGTCATTCTCGTTAATTTTACAGAAGTGACTGGGTAGCATAGGCCAGAAATGACCAATGCCATTCAACGAGTTCAGCTGTATGTGCTCAGATTGTTGGTGTTTATCTGGAGAGCTGAAGCAGCATTTTTAAGGAATTGGTTTGCTGAAACTGCGTATTTGGCATTTCTTTGCACAGAGTACTATTTGGTTTACTGAAGATTGAGAACAATATTGGCCACTTAGTAAAAAGGCTGCTCTCTCATTAGAGATGGTGGTTTAATCCAAGGGTCACCACACCTCAAGTGAGGAGAGAAGTTGAGAAGAGAGTTTCATGGTAAGCTTAGCTGGTGTAGGAGTTGAACCTACCCTGCAAGCTGTCCAGTCAAATGAGCAAACCAACCTCTACCTCTTGGAAGTAGCTGCACGAAATGTAGGAACAGGAACTGCAGCAAAGAGAAAAAGAATTTTAGTCAGCATCATATGGCACTGTCAGGATTTGAAAAAGGTTGCCTCATGCTGGTTAGGATCAACAGACCCATGCTGAGCTACCTGAGCATCAGCTTTGTAAAAGGAGATTGCACTTTGTACAAGAGACTATTTCAGTTTCCTGCAGAATGCTACAGCTCAAGCTGGAGCT